AGGCTTACTACACCTTAAAAAACCGCAATGATCTGACTTGAACTGCTTTGGGTAGGTTTTTTTTTGATGGAATGTGCATCTCTAATTTAAACTTGAAATATCTGTTTTTTCGCCCAAATTTTTAAGTTTCAGTTCTGTGTCACCTTAATACACACAGAAAAATCGTTTCTTCTTTCAAGTTAATTTTTCCTTGTTTCAAGTGCACGCTGACACAAGATCAAATTTACTCTTGAAGCAAGCTGATATTTTCTTTCGTATAAGAGAATTTTTTTTTCCAAAGACAAAATTTGCTTGTTTCAAGGGTGAATTTCATCTTGGGTCAGCGTGCACTTGAATCAAGAAACTATTTTTCTAGGTGTACGATGGAACATTCAAACCTTTGATATGTGTACTCGTACGAGTCACTGAACCCGCACGTAGGCAGTGAACAACCTGTTGGGCTTCAACGATCGAACCCTGTCATTAGACGGTCCATATTGCGGTGCTGGACGGGCAAATTTACCAAATCCCGCTGTTGCTGACGCGCGCTCCCTGGGCATGAAACAAGTCTTGAACGACATCTCGAGCGCCCGCTCACCAGCCACCCGGGCCGCCGCTACAACACAACGTCCATCGGCATTGGCCTTTTCAAGTCCTTCTGGACAAGCCCCCTCCCCTCTGCCTGAAGGTCATCCAACCAGTCCAGTCTACCGGCCCAACCTCGGCCCGGGGTTCAAGAAACCCTGCATCACGGCAGCCAGTGTGCATTCACGGTTCTCGCAAACTTGATGTGTGGATATAGTATGGTAGCGACTACCATTTTTCTGACAAGTTGAACGACTCTATACGTTTTATGTATCACATTAGGCGCTGTGTGTGCGGCCAGTGGTGCCCGGCACACCCGGCGGCGCTGAGCTTGCGGTCCGACACACGGCTTGGACAGCTGATGCGTCAGCTGATTGTAGAGCGCGTGGCGTGGCCTGGCGGGGCGGGCTGGCAGCGCGGCCAGATTGCACAGGTATCACACACTGCGCCGCTCAAGGCCCACGGCGGCCCACGGCCCTTCTCTGTCTGGAGGTACGCGGGCAGCGGGCAGCGATGCACGTCGAGACACGGGCGGGAAGCCAAAACGGCAACAGCAGACCCCACAATCAGCACGATGGGTTGCCTACTTACCGGGCGCGGGCGCGGCAGCAACTCGGCGCGTACACAGGCAACCCAACGCACACGCGATCCGATGGGGCTGCCTGAAGGTTTGGGGGCATTTTGACGCACCGCGACCGCCCAAGAGAATTTCTTTCACTGGAAAAACTAATGTGACATGTGCCACCAATTGGTGTGACCGGTTGTGGTCACACCACGTAATGTGACCTGAGTTTCAGTCACACCTTTTGATGCGACATCAGCCAAGAAGGTATAGGCAGAACACATAGGAAGTCAGACCACAAACGTGACCAAAAATGCGGTCACAACACACATGCGAAGGACGTCACACTTGTAATGTGACGCATGTCACGTGACGCATGTCACGTGACGCATGTCACATTAGTTTTACCAATGTTCACACTTCAAAAAGCATCTACAGTAACAGTACATTGCCGTGTCGAGTCATGTCAACGTGTTGGCGTTGTCTAGTGTACCCATTCCGACAGAAACATTATTTTTTAAAATTGTAATGCAATATTGAGCATTAGGTGTATTAGTACTCACAATTAGAAGAGCGCCACTTGCCGGCACTGCTGGCCCCCATTGTTTTCTGGAGAATGCTTACTCAGTCTGACACCCAATTCTAAGGGTCAACGACAGCATCGGTTATCGCATATACAAACACCTAAAGGAAATAGAAAATAAAAATGGAAACAAAAGTTAAAACATACGTAAATTGAATTAAAAGTGGTAATAATACTTAACTTCTTAATCACTGTGAAAAAAAGTAGGAAGGTTTACAGGAAAATTTTCCTTGACGCAAGTTGTAAAATTACAACAATTTGAAATCGTAAATATACATGCAGTATGTATCGACTTCAAATCCCTTGGCGAGTAAAAAACGTGCCGTCGTAAATTTACAACTTAAATTATAATTCGAGTTTACATTTTTTTTAAAATTTACGACGATATTTTTCACAGTGATATACGACGCCTCCCACCGAAGCGCCTGCGAATACACGAGTAGGCAGCCCCGCTTTACTCGTCTGTCTCGCGGGCTGGCCTATGCACAGGCGCTTGGCGGCTCCAAATCGCGCGTCTTTTCTTGACACGTGACCGACCTCGTGCAACCACACACAGCCACCTCCCCCCTCCTCGCCTTCCTTTTGGTACCTCCCGTCCCCGCCCAGATGACTGTAAAATCAAGCCGCGCCGGAGCCCCGCATCGATGGGCGCCTTACGCAACCGAGGGACTTATCGAGCGGAAGGCTGGGCGCGGCGCTGGGCCGGGAGGCTGGGGCTGAGGTCAGGGGTCCCGCGGGCCGCCCCGCCCAGGTTATTGACACTATTGACGGCGCCCCGCACATACGAGCCGGCAACGAACAACTGCCGCGGCGGGCTCAGCATCTATCGCTTGCCGCATACTCTCACCATTGATATTTTCACTGCTATTAAATTTTGCGGATAATTTTTCGGAGCAAGTCCAGGGTAAAATAAAAGAGGGCGTTTCTAATTGCTAGCTTAGATGTGTACAAACTTGTGAAGTTGCCAAATTGTATGTTGAATAACTAGGAAACGTTTAAAAAGGCTTCGAGAGGATTCATGCTGTGTTGCGATAAGTCAATCCCAGCCGCAAAGACGTCTCCACTGATAAACTAAGTGTTCAACTGCTCAACACTTGTAAGTGTGCAACTGCAAGTTAAATATTTGCAAAGTGTGCAAGTCCGTCGTTGCACACTTGCAAGTGTTGAGCAGTTGAGCACTTAGTTTATCTGTGTTCATTTGGAACAATAAGATCGACGATCAAGTCTTTAGAATTTTCATAGTAATGAGTCAAATAAACTCTCCCAGGTGTTTTTATTTCAGTGCTGTGCACAGCCACAACGTGGTCACTTTCACAGCGATAAAGGTTCTCATGGGCAATGTAAATGAAGTGCGCGGGGCTGGCCGGGATGGGGTGGGGCCACCCCGATGACGCTCTCCTACGTCGGGCGGCAACCAAAAGGCCATGCCGCACTGGTGGCGGACGCACCCGCGCCGCCGCCCGGCCATACCTGACGCTGCGTTTGCATGACCCGTGCGATGAGAAACATTCGTGAGCAGGGTGGGGAGGGGGAGGTCCCTTTCCTAAACCTCTCCGCAGCGCAGCGTGGTGACGTCAAGCCTACTGGGTCACGGCTAAGGTCAGTAAACGCGCACTGCAACAATTTGAATCCAACCCAAATTAAAATGACGCTAGATGAGCAACGCAACCGTTGCAGGCCGCATGCAGTCTACAATTTTCAGTGATGCTAATTAGTTTGCATTAATGTGTATTAATTAGTTTTGATTGCACATGCAAAACGGTCGAAGGCAGGAAGCAAATTATATAGGTTGGTTGAGAAAACATGACTTTGTTTGCCTAAAGTATGTTATTCACTTTTTTAAAAAATGACGCAATTTGATAACCTCTAAAAATTTGGCAGGAGGAAAGGAGGATAAAAATTGTCAGTGTCAAAAGGGGTGCCACAATTAATTGATCAAACTACTGGCTGGCAAGCAAGATGGCCAAGGCATTTTAAGAATGCCCCAGCACCGTCAACGTGTTGACTGAAAGGAGGGCAAACCAGGTCAAATGGGTCAGAACGGTTTTGGGGAGAGTCCACCCCTGTTTGCTCGACAGAGATCGATAAAAGGGTTAGCAGATCCCTTTGAATCCATTCGCTGCGGCGAAGCAGCCGTCTCAGACTATGTGGCCTTGAATGAAGCTATGGTCCCATTCGGTGGGGTAGTTCGACTGAGCTTGGCGTGGAGGTGCGTCAGACTGCTGCGGTCAGGGAAGCGAGGCCATCGCCGCCTCGCCCCTCCAAAGCGCGAACGTGCTGCAGAGCACCGCAAACTTTGCTGCGTCGAGTCGTCAGCTGCGGTCAAATTGGCAAGGTGGGTGGAAGAGTGAAGGGAGGGGAGGGGGGGGGGGCTAAGAGCGTCGCGAAGTGGCCCAATCAGATCACAGAACAGAGCAAGAGTGACACACGTCAGGGCAAAGACTCTAAACGCCGATGCTGCTTTGGCAGCTACAAATTTGGCATCCTAATGGACACTGCCAACGTTTCGGCAGCCCTATCCTGACTCCCAATGTTTGGCCTACATGTTTGCTTCTTTCGAATGCCAAAATTTGCTGAAAGAATGACAAATTGAACTGTAAAAGGCCAAAAGGAAGCAGAAAAATGTCAGTCTCTTAAGGAATGCCAAAAGGTTAGTAAGCAAGGTAGCTACGGCGTTTAGAGTGAGGAGCCCGTGGATGGAGAAAAGCGCTCGACCTTCACCGGGTGAGGCGAGACGCACAATCGATCGGCTACTTGGATTTTGCGGGCATGGGGTGGGCAGGCGCGAAGAACGCATGGAAACGTTGGTGGTGGACGCAAAACGTCGTCCCAACCTGTTGGATCGAAGTGGAGCGAGCGAGGGAGGGAGAGGGGGAGAGGGAGAGGGAGAGAGAGAGAGAGAGAGAGAGAGAGAGAGAGAGAGAGAGAGAGAGAGTCTCGTCATCGCCCTCCACGCACAAAAACACCCGCCGTTGCTAGAGTGCGCCGCCGCCACAGACGGAGTGGAGCGGAACGGAGTGCAGCAATGGCGACGTCTTTTCGTAGTCTGTTTTCTGAAAGGCGTTGAACTCGCCCAGCGAGGTCCGCTGGCCGACGCACTTCCGAGCGGAATGGAGTGAAGGGTCGGCGCGGGGCGAGGCGAGGTGGGGGGGGGGGGTGCCCCTCTCTTCTCCACGGCGCTCGCCATACCGCCTTTTAGTGAAAGTGTCTCGCCTAGGAGAGAGGGGGCAAGGGGGCACGAGGGGTAACAGCGGCACCTTGTCGAGCAGGGGGAAAGGGGGGGTCGGTAGACAGCATCAGCCCCACCACGCCCCGCCCCGCCCCGCCTCGGCACGCCCGGCGCGGCTGGTGCTCCGCCGGCCCCCGCCGCGCGACCGGCGCTCAGTCACCCCCGCTTCCACCGTCGCTGCACACGACGATCCGTGCAACGAGTAAGTCTCCTCCAGAAGCGTCAAGCCCGTCTCTTCCTGTGCGGCGAAAAAAGAGTGACAGAAACGAGTGATAGTGTGTGTTATCAAAGTGAAATATAGTGGATTCGTGTGGACAGCGTGGTTTCACACCGAAGTCATCGTTCGCAGAATAACAGATGTTTTGTTATAAAACGAGTTGGAGGATGTTGTGCCTCGTGTTCGTGAGCTGAATTGCCGTGTGTACTTGTGTTCGATCAAGCGTGGATACTGTGATCATTGAGCCGCGACGGCGGGCTCTTGCCCAGGTCGTACGAGAGCATCACAATGATAACTCAGGACTGCGTCCTCCTGAGGCGTGCGCTGTGCTTGTGTGCGTTAGTGAGGGAGGGAGAGGGGGGGGGGGGGGGGGGGGGTCTGAGAGGGAAAACTAGCAACGTAAGAGTTACATGACAGCATTTCGCATATGCCCACTCGACAAATCTTATGTAAGAAACAAGTTGACAGTTTGAACTTTTAAAACTTGAGTTTAGCAGTTACAGTAGATAACCAAAGGTAGGACTTAATAATTTTTAGGGGTGTTAAATTTTAATTCCTTTGCAAAGGCGCGAAAGTGTCCACAGGCATTAAATTTTAACACTTTTGGGCAAAACCTTTTCGAGTCCTAACATTGTTTTTCCAGTGTAGGTGAAAATTTACAGAGTATTGAATTACGTCCTTGCAGTCGCGGATTGTGGTCCGCAGGTTGGCAGGAGGGCGATGCCGCGTCTGTTCGGGTGGTTGACTGCTTTATACAAGGGTTTTATAACTCAAACTGCCTGCCTTCCAGGCGGCGGACTAGAGTCCACGGGTTTGAAAGCAGTGTTGCGGGTATGCCTACTCCACGGGCCACCCCGCATTCCCTCAACGAATGCCAAATTTTGGTCGGAAAACAGAAATGTCAGAATTTTAGCAACAACAGCGGTCGCGGCATTTACAGCGCATGCTGGCGGATCGAGCAGTCAATTCCACACGCTGCGGTGTATCATCATTTACTCGATGTACACTCGAGCCGTTCAAGACAATGAGATAACATGTGAATCGCCTTGTCATACGTTCTTGCGTCCGTAATGGGGCATGATGAGGGTATGCACCTATCCAGCGGGAAGTAGTGTCTAATAGCGCGGTCGTCTAGCGCCTGACCGCGCGGAAAGTCCGCAGAGATAGCAGCACGTGAGCAGTACTGCGCTGCTGGTAGTTAGGTTTGACAATCCGCGACATCATGGGAAGTTTTTTTTTTGTCCAGTTTTGGTCATCAGGTCCAGCGTTATCTAAAACTGGGCGCCGGCTCGGTTCTGCCCCACCCAGCCTGGCCCGCAGTATACCCCCGTGACACACATTGGCGCGCTCGCACTACTCGCCCCTCACTTCCCGCTGCTGGAGCCGGCTGCTGGAGACCGTAACGTTACGCGCGAGGCTCCGTATATTCCGGACAGTTTGGCACGTTGCGCAAGAGAGGCTGCTCTTTCTCGGCCACCGCAGCGCAAGCGTCGCCAAGTGTTAGTAGTGCATGCGTGCCCCGATCTCGCGACTAATTGGCGCAGCGAAACCGACGACGTGACACACCAGGTCTGTTCGGCCCGGATGGCGCGGCCCGCATCCTGATGAGCGGGGTCGGGTCGCAGCCGGACGTGTGCATGTAGATTGTGTTTCTTTTACTTACAAATCGAGTGCGGCGCGGAGTAGGCGCGGGAAGGGGAAAGCCTCCGTTCGGTGGTGAAAACAGTTTTGGGGGAACTTGACCGAGCTATAAACTGTCCATACTATGCTAATAAGTGATGCACACATGTTAAGCTATGAGATTTACTTTAAAAATGATTTTTTAAAAACTCGCTTTACTGTTTGTCGTGGCTGACAGTGTCGACCCGCCCAGAATACCGAGTGCCCAAGATGAGATGGACCGCGGAGGAGGCACGGAAGAGCATCGACGACTACAAACCGGAGACCATCGAAGCGTTGCAAAAATGGCTGCAGGAGAACCCGCACTACCCGCCAACTTCAGGTCAGTTTTAAAACTGCTCTATGCGCTATTTTTATGATCATCAGCAGGGTATTTTGATTCGACATGCAACATTCATCTGATTCCGTTCTCTTGATTTTCTGTTTCCTATAAAACTAATAGAAATTTTTAAAACGATGTGTTTATTCCTATTTACTGTAAAATTACAACTTGTAATCGCAAAAATACACAGAGTACGAATCGATTAAAAATCCGATGCCGAGTCGTAAATTCACAACTTAAACTAAAATTCGAGTTTACATTTTTTGGTAAATTTACGACGATATTTTTCACAGTGTAGTGGGTCATGAGCAATGCGCCACGGATCATCCTTCCTAAAACTGTCCCAATTGACTCAGTTTTATTAAGTTAATCAGCCGACCGCAAGTGCGAGTGCGTAGGACCGTAATAGAATGGTCCTGGATCCTTTGGGGACCGCGGAGAGCCATGGGCCATGTGCAAGGGTTACGAAGAACCATCGTATACGGTCCTACACACTCGCATTTCCGATTAGGGAAATTAATATTAGATTATTGTAACAGAAAAGTGCGCAAAAATTGTAGCGAAGATGGTCTGTGGTTGATAGCTCATGGCTCATGGCTTTCGTTCATTGAGGGGGCACCTTTAGAATTCCTTTTTACAGTAAGAATGAAACTATGTTTTAAAAGACCGCGATGCTGACTGAGGTGCCAACAACTAGTGGAACATTCCATCCCCGCACCAGTAGTGTGCATAATTCTTTAGTAGCGGGCTGACAGTACACAGAAAACAGTTTGGTCTCGCTTTGGTCCACAGATAAAAAGTTGTTGAAATACCGACAAGATTTTCATCCCGCCAACCAAAAGTGTTGTCGTGTTCACTACATGATGGCGATGTCACGTTGATATAAGTGTGATAAGTTTTAATATCTAACAAGAGTAATAACTTTGGTTAAAAATGCAAGATTAAGTATCGAGTTGGCTTCAAGCGGTGAATTTTCTTTCTCACGTCTTTTTAAAGTTATATGGCCACATTGCTTTTCTTAGTGAGATGTATGCAAATTCGGTTTGAGAACCAGGAGGTACCAAATAGCGAGCTTCCGCAGCAAAGGAATTAGTTTTCATCTATCCCACGCACTGATGTTAGCTGAGCGCATATACTAGCTTACATCGTGACATATATTCCGTCAACATTCCTCCACAAAAAATGCGGCTAGGAAGGTGTGTCCCAAATCGGAGGCTGCTTACTTAATTGTTTATACTTTTTGCAGAGGAAAGCCTGATCCTGTTCGCTCACAGCTGCTACTACGATGTCGAGAAGACGAAGGCCTGCATTGACTCGTGCTACAACCTGAAATCCGCCACACCCGAGTTCTTCCAGAAGCGCGATGTAGACAAGTACGCTGAGGTTCGACACATCCTAGGCGTCACGTAAGTAGTATACTACTGCTTATAAGCAGAAGCAGGGGGTTGAGGGGGTTGGGGAAGGGGTGTTAAAGTAAACGGCACCCAACTTACTTTTAACTTACATTAAAATGGCAATTCTCGTCTGCATCTTGGTTCTTTCCGTGCTCCATCCTTAACAAGGCAATCTGAAACAAAAAATATTGATAGCAGCTGATGGTTAGGAAAGTTATTGAAGTAGGGGCCATTTTACTGACATTTTAGAACCATAGAAAGATAAGTTAACGACGATGTGTAACGACCCGCATCACATATGAGTCAGTGATTGCTTTCAATGCCAAAATTATAGCATTTTTTAAATAGCAACTTTAAACAGGCTTTGATTGTGAAGAGTACAACAAAAGTGCGACTGATATTATATTTCTGTTTTCTTAACGCGTCTTTCACTTGTTCTCGCAGAGACAACGCAGTATTCCCGACGATGACGCCTTCTGGCTACCAAATCATATTTCATCGACTCTCGCAATACGAGCCCAGCAAGTACGTCTTTGCCGACGGCGTGAAAGTGCTGAATATGACTATGGAGTCAGCACGATGCCTCACCGGCCCAGCTAAGGGCTACTTCATCCTGTTCGACATGACCGGCGTCAAGCTGGGTCACCTCACTAGGCTCAACCTGGGACTGCTCAAGAAGTTCTTCATGTTTATTCAGGTGAACATCTACACTTTTTCTTCCGCACCACCCCTTCATCACTTGGGGCCGTCCGTAAGGACCACTTGGGGACGGGGCTAAAGGGTGGGGGGGAGGGGGCACCAATATCGACAGATGTATGTTACAAAAAATTATTCACTCATCTGCAGGTGTCATTTGTAAACGCGAATCACTAGTTTTTAACGTGTGGAAAAAACCACGCGTATGACAAAAGGCCCTTAGTACGCCTTTTTCGCAGTCATTTGCACATTTAGAAACCTAGAACAAACTTTGAATTCTAAAAGTTACACCACCAAAGTAAAAATCTAGCTTTGGATTTATTAATGTGTGCTACTACGGTCGGTGCAGCATCGAGCTTTTGAAATTGGGTAACTGGCGTGACCCACGGACATTTTGCGGAAATGGTTTTTGAAATAGTGGTAGTAATCTTCAAAAATATGAAAATCCAAAAGAGATGCGTTTTGGTCAAAGTTCCTTGAATCTGAAGATGTGCCTACAATGGCACGATGTTGCTTCCGTTTCGGAAATATTCAGTAGCCTACGATTAAAAGTGAAATGTCCTCCAAAGTGTCCGTGACGCACACACAAGAAAAAATGCGACGGACAGACACGTACGAAAACCAACCATGTTTCCTTTCCACCGTAAAAGTGAATTAAATTGTAAGGTCAACCAACATTTGTTTTTGTTGAAAACTATTATTGGGCAAATTTGAAGGTTATACAGAATAATTGAGTTGTGTTTTTTTTTTTCGAGAAAATACAATTAATTAATCGTATCTCAGACACAATCAGCGACAAACCGAGGAGTCGAAATGACGTCTAAAGTCACAGTTTAACTTAACTTAAGTTTTTCCTGTTCTTGAAATTTCAGACTGCCTAAAACCTCTAGACTTTTTCTTAACGGCAAAAATAACGAGGCCAACATAAAAAGGCAAAAACGTCGCTAGTGCTATAATAGATCTGTATTTCGATGAACTGATTTGCCTCACTGTTGGACTTCTTTCAGGAAGCGAATCCCGTACGTCTGAAAGGAATTCACGTGATCAACACCATGCCAATCGTCGACAAAATCATGTTCCTCATAAAACCTTTTATGAAGAAGGAACTGCATAGCATCGTAAGTCACTTTCAGCGCTGCACATTAGGATAAATTACTGACCTCTTAACAGAACTTATTACATAGTTTTTAAAACTTAATTACAGCTACACTTTTACTCATCATCCGAAATGGAGAAGCTGTACGAGGTCATACCCAAGGAGTGCCTACCTTCAGACTTTGGGGGATCGCTAGGAAAGACGGTGGCTGAACTTCACGGTAAGAACTAATCTCGTACATCAATACAAACATCGAGAATTGCCATTGGTTTCCGATGTTCATTATGAATCTTAAGGATCGTAACCCTAAAGCGGCCAAGGCTATGGAAGAGGGTGTGGGTGCGGTTTGCGTTTGTCTGCGGTTGACGCGCGACGGCAGCACAAAATCACGCATTGTAAGGTCCCCGCGCACTCAAAGATAGTAAAAATTGACTTTTCTTTCATTTTCAGCTCGAAACACGGAGGTGCTGAAGGACCTGAAGGACATTTGGAATGACGACGAGACGTTGGTAATCGACGAGAGCAAACGGCCCAGTAAGAAGGGCAAGAAGGCGCGGGAGGACGCCATGCCGGACATCAGGAAGCTGGATCTCGACTGACCCTTATAAACAAAGCAATAATTGAACGACAGAACACAGTGGTTCTATCGTCGACCAGGAGAAAAACCATTTGATGTGCGAAAACCTTGTAAAAATAATTACTATATGTACCTGTAAAAATAAGTCAGCCTTGATGCTTAATTATGTGTAGTCTATTTGAAAATATAAATATATTACGTCGGAAATTTCCAGGTTTATTTTGAGTGCCTGTATGATTCGACAATGTCCCGCAGGTTGAGAGAGAAGGGGACCCCTCGTTTAACCGGTTCAGGTGGAAAAAAGGGAGGGGGGCAGGTGGATGGGTGATGCTGAGTGGGCGGTAAAGTGGTAGAGGAGGGGCAGATCGGGAGGGGGGAGGGGTACTGCACAGCGCTAGGGCCACGTTCTAGCGCGGCCGGTGTTCTCGACCAGTGCAGTTCTGGACTTCACAGAACGTCGTACCGAACAGCTAAAATCGCGCAGAATCAGTCCACCATTACTTGACTAACCGCTAGGCACCTGCTGCTCAGTCACCTAATTCAGCATGAGGCTGCACGCTGCAGTACTAGCAGCGACGTTCTGCTTGACCTTCGCGGCTGCCGAAAACTCCTACGCTACAGGCGGCGTCGTACCGGACGTCATTGATGTGGCGCCTCCAGCAAAAATCGAGGTATTCGCGCACAAGCAAACTTTCTCGATGCTCATCAAAGACTCAGAACGCTCAAGCTGCGATTAAAATTGAGTGGAAATTTGTTAACCGTCTGACCTATTTGTAGATCGTCTACCCGGGCGAATTGAGTGTGCAGTACGGGAATGAGCTGAATACTACCCAAGTTCAGAAAACGCCCACTTTCTCCTGGCCAGTGGAGAATGGCGCCCTCTATACCTTGGCGATGATAGGTTGGTACTTGTGCGCTACGACTAACCCTTAAGGGGGGTCAGGACAAAATTTTGTCAATTCTAGGGCTCTAAAACCATGTGTCCTGTAGGGATATGGTGAGTGTGGGACTGTCCACAGGGTAAAGCATTTAACAATTGGTCTATTGTGACCATTTTCCAGGCTCAAAAAGTATCCTAACTCTCAAGAGTCACCCTGAACGACAATTCTAGTAAAGTGTTACAAAACAGTTAAAAATCTTGCGCGCAAGGTTTCTCGGTTATGGTTTGCACTACAACGCTGAAACTTTTCCTGTAAGTTAGTCATATGAATACCTAAAACTTGTCACAGGATTTTCTTGATATTCTCACTTGCTGATTTTTAATGACAAATTTAAGTTTCATGACCAAAATCATGCCGTTTTCACCCCTATAACATTTTTTAAAAAATCAATGGGTAGGAATTTTGAAAAAATCCTGTGACAAGTTGTTGAAAATACTGTAAAAGTGAAGCCTGCAAAGTTTCATAGCTGTGGCGTTAAGGGTGTAGGAGAAACTCTGCGCGCAAGGTTGAAAAGTAAAGTTCAGAGAAAAACGCATCTAAAGTTGACGTTAATGGGCAATTTCAGGTTTGACTCTTCACAAGAAAAAATCCCACGGTCACAATTTTTAGAATTTCTTTACAAACTAAACAGCTATAGACTCAGGAAGAGTCAGAGAATTTTTTAAAAAATAAAACCGAAAATCATTTTTTTTTGTCCTGACCCCCCTTAAAAGATTTTGTGGAAAAAGTCAATAGACAATCCTATCTTACATGACCCATTTGCACCCTTAAAAACTTTATGGTATAGTAAAGAAGGTTTGCATCGTACAAGGTCGTTCTTCGGAGAGCTGCGCTGTAAGGTCGGATCTTACTGAGGTCAACTGATAAACCAAGTGTGCAACTACTTATTAACACTTGTAATGCATATTCAACTCAACAGTTGTGCACTTACAAGTATTCAACTCTGCAGTGGTTACCATGTAAAAGTGCAACTTCTCTGTTTCAGACAACACTTCCTTATAATGGTCGCTTAATGTGTGGGAAGTGTTAAGCTTAACATTCGCAAGTGTACTGTTACGTAGTTGAACAGTTGCGAGTGTACTAATACGTAGTTGACAGTTGCAAATGTATTATTACGCAGTTGGACACTTACAAGTGTTCAGCAATTTGACACTTTCTGGCATTCCCTGAGGGAAAGTGGCATCATTTTGGTCTTGATGTGATGACTGGAAATGTTACATGTTCTTTTACAAATTTTGAAAAGGGGGCAAAAAGAATGGCCTCTATTGTGAGTGTGTCAAAATTTAGCGACGAAACAGGCCAAAAGTTTAAATCAGTACTATAAAATCTTATGTCTAATTGTATTCACCTAGACCCCGACGCGCCCAGTAGGGCGAAGCCTAGATTGCGAGAGTTCCTCCACTTCCTGGTTGGCAACGTCCCGGGCACTGATATTTCCAAAGGTGACATGCTGGCCATGTACATCGGACCTGCACCTCCAAAAGACTCAGGTGAGTAAGAACTATCACGCTGTTGTCGTTTTGTATTGAGAAGAAAAATATTTTCTCGAGCAGCTGCGCCGCGCCACCCTCCCCTCCAGAGGGTGGGCAGGTTGGCGTGGGCTACTGTAACTAGTTGAGCTTTACGGCCAGGTCGAGTGAATTATTTCTAAATTAAAAAAAATAACTGTTTCTTTCAATTTGTAGGGCCACACCGATACGTTTTTCTTGCATACAAGCAGCCCAGTCACATCCGTTTTGATTTCGAGCAACTTAAGGACGAGTAAGTCATCGTTACTTTCGTATAATGAAGAGGAAAACTGTAAACCCTGAATTTACATTTCATTTTGATTCCCAGCTCCTATGCAGGGCGTCCCAAATTCAGCATTCGCAAGTTTGCTGCCGAGTACAAACTAGGCAGCCCTGTCGCAGGCAACTATTACCAGGCGCAGTACGACGACTCCGCATCCAAGGCTTCTAAACGCGGCGGTCAGTAGAGGATCGCGTTAGTGATTTAACCGGATTTAACAAATCATTAAATAAAGAAGTAGTTAATTCCATTTATTGACTCTTATACTAACCCTCTAACTAAACCAAAAAATAACTGAGCAGCAGTAGGTTTGCACGAATCGCTAAAGTTTGCAAAAAAACAAAGAATTGTCGTCAGAACTAACAAATTAGCTGATAATTTAAGGATAACCAATCGAAATTTTCTGAGCTAACTTTAAACTACTGATTATCTAATAATCTGAATTCGAGCCTCAGATTTAGAGATTGGTTAGTTCTGACAATTTTTTTTTTCGTGGACGTATACGGCATGGCATGTAGCGTGGTGAGGTGGGGCCAAGCCCCGCACGTTCGTTGCAGGCAGCGCCGCGCAGGTAGGCCACCTCTCCGGCACCACTTCTGTCCGGCGGATAGCCAGACAGTACGCTATCGCCAGATAGCGCCTGTCTGCCAATAGCACCGCCACCTGAAGTTGCGTCACAGAGCAGGCGGCCGAGGTGGGCGGACGGGGCGCGCAAAATAACAGCCATATTCGTTATTGCACCGCAGCACGAGCCAACGGCCCACCAGCAGCAGCCATGGAGGAACTTGCACCGGGAATCGTCGACGTCGCTCCCACGAAGACGATTAAGGTGCGTGCCGGCGCTCAGGCTGTGGGGTACGACGCATAATCACATAACCTCAACCTCACAGAGCATCCTCCCGCCAGGTGGACTACGCCACCGGCGTGTCAGTGGACAATGGCAACGAGCTGACCCCGACGCAGGTGCAGGACCAGCCAAGCATCAGCTGGGAGGCTGAGGATGGCGCCCTGTACTTCCTCGCCATGATCGGTCAGTCTGTGTGTTTTGATTTATTATGTTACTTAAGGCGGACAAAGAAAATTACTGGGAAATGCAGGTTTCACAAATTTTACTTATCACGTAATTTTTGCAGATCCTGACGCACCCTCCAGGCAGGACCCATCCGTCGGGGAAGTAATTCACTGGCAGGTTGCGAACGTGCCTGGCAACGACATCAGTAAGGGAGATGTAAAGTTCGAGTACAGGGGATCAGGCGCACCTAAGGGCACTGGTAAGGGCCGAGTGTGAATAATTATAAAAGACTTACGAAAGCGTCGTTGTATCTTTTATATGAAATTGCAATTTTTACGTTTCAGGACTGCACCGCTACATTTTCCTCGTTTTCAAGCAACCAGGACAACTTAACTTAGGCCAAGAGCGAGTTGTAAAGAGGTAACATTAAAAAAGCCTGTCGCGAGTTGAATACTGAAAAGTCTTATCAGCATTCACCTCTGTCATAGATAGTAAACAACAAATACTCTTCACACCCACAGATCACGCAAGGGACGTCTCAACTGGTCTCTCCGCAAGTTCGCCAAAGAGAACAACCTTGGCAATCCAATCGCCGGCAACTTCTTCGTTGCTCAGTGGGACGAGTACGTGCCCATTTTCGCAGCAATGTCAACTAATGACTAAACATCTTTTTTATTAAAACAACATAACTGGTCAAATCACAAAAAAATGTGTACTACATAAATACCCCCTTACCTCACACTTACACGGAAAAAAAAGATTCTCTGAGTCAGCTAATATATTGACTGGTATCTGGACAGACAAGCACATAAACTTCTGTAACCACTATATTGTCTACTCTAATCAATCATTGGCTGTGCCAGTCAAAAATTAGCTGGAAGAGCTTATCCCTTCCCTAAATCAGTCGAGGTCTACCTTACTGATGCAGGCCAATCATTATTTCATACAACTAATCATTGACTGGTTCGGCCAATGATTGATTAGAGTAGACAATATAGTGGTTACAGAAGTTTATGTGCTTGTCTGTCCAAATACCAGTCAATATATTAGCTGACTCAGCGAATCTTTTTTTTTCGTGTATTCATACAAGCGCAGGAAAATCTCACAGCTGCTGCTGATGCAGGACAAACTAGCGCCTGATGCTTAGGCAAATTCTTGTATGAGAGTACATCTGATCTTAGCGGGTGGCCTACCGTCGGGCTTGTAGGCGTCTGACAGGGTGAGAGAAAACAGAGAGCGAGCGAGAGAAACCCATCCACCAGGGCCGCACGCGCGCGTCAAATGAGTGGCCTACCTACCGGGTGCTGGTGTCACTACGAGACCGGGTGCGGGTACTACCGCCGCCAATCGACCCCGTAGAGGCAGGCAACACACATGCCCGTTCTGTCACTTGGGTTAGCGAACCGCCAGGAGCACTGGCAGCTTTAGAAAGACAATCACTCTCTTCTCACCTACATACTAGAGCTGAACTACTGCGCTACGTACTGCGTCGGCTGCGATGGTAAGTTGAGTAGTCAGCGGGTGGTATCAAGTACACTTGTTTCGCACGCAGCCTAGCGCCGCGGAAGTGCCAACCTGTTTGGTTGGCCTGGACAAACCCCAGTAGGCAGGGTATGGGATGCCAGCGTTGGGGACAGTCCGAGTGCCGACGTCACGAGCATCGTCGAAGCGTGACCAGGTTTTCATTGCTTACAACTTAAATTTCATTTTTGGTTTATACGAAAAGAAAAGCATTAACAAATTTGCTTTTCTTAAAAATAAAAGTTGATATCGTCTATTTTGTATTCTTAATACCTATAAATGATATGCATTGTTGCGTACCCAGTGCGGCGGGGACCGCTGTGTCCAAGTCGAGGTGACACTTTCCTTTTCATTTCCCACGTCCGGCGGTAGAAAGCGGCCGTCATTGTCCAAGGTCCAAGGAAAGACACCTCGTCTCCTCAATAGGGAAGCAGCCAACATCTGGGCTTTGTTTACAGAATATTAGACTGTACAGAAAAGCTTATACATGCACTGCAAGGGAGTAACAAAAATGAAGAACGATCAAAACTTGGACGTGGGGCTTCCGATCCCCACAAGACGGCAAGGCCGTGAGAGTCAAGTGCCACCGATCATCATCCCAAGCGTGCG